CCCTCCTCCTCTCCTCCTCCCTCCTCCTCCTCCTCCCTCCCTCCTCCTCCCCCCCCCTCCTTCTCCTCTCTCCTCCTCCTCCTCCCTCCTCCTCCTCCTCCTACCGATATCGGGACCCTCCCTCCTCCTCTCTCTCCTCTTCCGCCCTCCGCTCCTCCTCGCTCCTTGAGCCCGTGCTTTGAAGGTCTGGGCGAAATCGGCCGTGATCGGCCCTCTTCCATCTCCCCCCCCGCATCACGTCACGCTGTGTTGCCAACACGTGCAGTGATGCCCTTCGGATTCTTCGAGAATGTCCTGAGATTTCCGGCGGCCCCCCGCCGCGATGTGATCGGGGGTACGACTTCTCCCCCTCATCAGTCCCCCGATCACGCCCGTTGACGCGAATACTGACAAAACAGGCTCCCTTCGTCCTGCGCCACCGACCGGGCCCGTCCTCCGCGGCGGCTGGGCCGCGCGGCAGCCATGGCGTCCCCGATGGTGGTTGCCCCGTCGAGCGCCAACATAGAGGTCAAGGCCCACGGTCGGCTCGCCGATCTTACGCAGGGGGACCGTGCTCGGAGGAGGACCAGCGAGAAGCTCGAGACCCCCCTCCCTGCGTTATTAGCGAAATCTGGAGTAGACCTCGGATACATGTTCGGGCCCTGGAGTCAGTCAGTGACGCCAGGCATCCAGCGGGACGCGTGCGCAAAACGCTGACACGCTAACTGCGCGCTGAATCGGGCGACGGGCACGCCAGACGCGTTGCTGCGCGGCTGCGACGCGCCAAACGTTTGTTGGGAGGACGATGACAGGAGGAGGGAGATGACGATGATGATGACAATGGACATGCATGACAGCTTCTCTCAACGGGCCCTGGAGGCGCCAAGCAGGTCCGCCGCCTGCCGAGGAACCCCGAGGCCGATCCACGGGCGGTGGTGATGTATGAGCCCCCCGCCTCGCTCACGGGGGCCACGACCCAAGATCTCGACCTGGGCCTTCTCTCGGCCGTGGGCTGGAGGGTTTCTCCGAAGGGCTTAGGCGACCCCTCCTCCTCCTCCTCCTCCGCCTCCTCCTCCTCCTCTTACTCCTCCTCCTCCTTCTCCTACCGCTCCCTCCCTCTCCTCCCCTCTCCTCCTCCTCCTCCTCTTCCTCCTCCTCTTCCTCCTCCTCTTCCTCCTCCTCCTCCTCCCTCTCCTCCACCTCCTCCTCCTACTCCTCCTCCTCCTCCTCCTTCTCCTCCTCCTCCTCCTCCTCCTCCTCGGGTCGCCTACGACCCCAGGGGAAACCGTGCACCGTGGGCAAAAGGCGATCCCCGATACCATCGGCCTGTGTCTGCGCTCTTTCTTGCGTTGCCGGTTCCTCATTCTGGGCCTCCAGCGGCCCACGGGCTGATTGCCCGTGGCCCGAGACCTCGGTCGAGGACCCAAGCGGGCCTTCGATCAAGTCCCCGCTCGATCAGAAACCGCGTCTGAGCCGTTCGACCTTTGATCGATCGGATTTTGAGACCTCCTCCTCGTTGGCCCTCGACCGAGGATCCTCCACCCCTCGATTCATCGAGGATGTGAGAACCCCTGACCCCAGTAACATAGTGGAGACGTGGCCTCACCGAGGCCCCCGTCCTTGTACCAGGGGTGATAAGTCTGGGCGGCCTGGTTTGATACATCTGCACAAAATTATCCCAGTGCGACCCTACCTAGGAATTAGAGCATTTAGGAAAGCAGCATCTACATCTACACCTATGCTATGCGATGCTTGGCTATGCTATGCTATGCTGTGGTAATGCTGCGCTGCGCTATGCTGCGCTAGGCTAAGGTAAGCTAAGCTATGCTAAGCTAAGCTAGGCTAGGCTAGGCTAGGCTAGGCTAAGCTAAATTACGCTAAGCTAAGCTAAGCCAAGCTAAGCTAAGCTAAGCTAAGCTAAGCTAAGCTAAGATGAGATAAGCTGAGCTGAGCTGAGCTCAGCTAAGCTAAACTAGGCTAGGCTAGGCTAGGCAAAGGTAAGATAAGCTAAACTAAGCTAAGATGAGATAAGTTAAGCTAAGCTAAACTTAGCTTAGCTAAGCAAAGCTAAGCTGGGTGAACCCAGGGGGCGCAACTGGGGGAACCGCGGGGCGGATACTGGGGGAACCGCCCGGGGCGCTTTCCACTGCCCGGCCCATTGAAACCCAGAGAGTAAGAACCATTCTAGGCAGAGCCTAGGTAGGGAAACAGACCTCCCACTTATCCCCAATGTCTCCGGCCTCGCACCTGAGGTCGCCTCCCAAAGGCTCGGTTCGGTCTCTGGGGGCCCCTTGCCGGGCCCTCGGGGCCGTCAACAGAACGGATTCGGGATGGCAAGCCGGTCCCCGAGAGTGGGTCCGAGACTCTTTGGGCGTCGACGTTGTGAAGAAATCATGGCGCGGGGGGGCCCTCACCGGGCCCTCGGGGCCGTCAACAAAAACGACTCAGGATGGCAAGCTGGTCCCCGAGAATGGGTCGAGATTTGTTTGGGGTCGATGTTCTATGGGCAAGAATCACGACCTGGGTTTACGGAGGCCTAGCCGTAAGTCGGGCATGCCTGTCTGCAGGAGGGATATTCAGAAATAGTTTAAAAACTGCCTGGGGACGATTTTGGCAACTTTATGTTTTTTTGTATTGTTTGACTATTATTTATTTGTCGTCAAAAGTCCGCCTATAGGAGGACACGCCCGACCTCAGCCTACCCCTTGTCTTCTCAGAAGTCGGGCGTTGCTAGAAGTGCCCCTGGCCCATGGTGCCCCCAGGAGTTCTAAGGAGGCCCCCACGGCCTCCAGAGCACCCCGTAACGAGGCCCAGCTTGACAACTTTTCGCCAATCGACTTGTGGGGATCGAGCCAGATAAATCCAAGTAAATGCAGATAAATCGAGGTAAATCCAGGCTTATCGAGATAAATCTGGGTAAATCCAGGTAAATCCAAAGATCTCCAGGGAAAGTTGGAGCAACTCGCGGCCGCTCCAGCGCGAGTCGAAGGACGGCAGAAGTCGTTAAGCCTTTAACGACCAGAGGGCCCAAGAGGCTCCGAGATTGAGCGAAAAGCTGAGGCAACTTGGGCCAGGGGTACCTTCAGCAACCTCCGAAAAAAGAGTGAAGGTACGGATGCTCTAGGCCTCCCAGGTGGGGTCAGAGCAAATGGCGTTGGAGGATCGCACCGCATCGCTGATGCATCGGCGATGCGGCTCGATGTGGAGCCCGCTTTTTTCCGCCGACGTCGCCGACACATCGCCCACGTCGCCGATGAACCTCTGACCCCATCAACTCGGGCCCCACCCAGGAGGCCTCTAGATACCCCTTCCCTCGTCGCCACGGTGGGATTTGCCTCGACATTGTGGTCACAACGCACCCCTGGAGGGATGCAGGACGGGAGCTGCGGTGGCGGCTCCTTTTCTCAGTGTTCGGCGCCGGGGCCATCAGAAGACGACCGCGCGACGGGAGAAGCGGTCCCCGAGATGGGGTGTAGTCGGGAGCTCCTCGGGGCCAGCGTTGCGAGGCGATCCCAGATCTCTCCGACGATGGGACTCTTTCCACCGCCGGCTTCCCCTCGACGTCGCCCTTGGGTCCTGGGACCAGCAGAAACGGAGCATCAACTCAGAGCCCCGAATCATCAGGGGTAACTCGGGTCAGGGATAACTCGGGTTCGTTTTTCTGGAGTCCAAGCTCGAGTTACCCCGGATCCGAGTTACCCCGGATAACTCGGGCGTCCAAAGCCCCGAATCATCAGGGGTAACTCGGGTCAGGGCTAACTTGGGTTCCTTTTTCGGGAATCCAAACCGAGTTACCCCGGACCCGAGTTACCCCGGATAACTCGGGCTCCCAATCAACCCCATGGGGAAGCGGTCGGGGGCCTCTGAGGGCCGCGGGCTGACAAAGAGCGGGCCGACGCGCGCCAGCGATCCCCCCCGGCGTCCGAGGCGTACGGCAGGTGTCCCACCGGCCGCCCACAGGGCAGCCCCGGGGCGCCCCCCCCCCGACAGGGGTCGCCCTTCAGGGGGGAAATTCAAAGATCGTAAAAACATGGTCTGGGGACTATTTATTGGAATATGTTTTAGACATCTTTTTGAGCATCTTTTATTTTACGTCCAAGATTCCCCCTGAAGAGGGACAGGCCCGACCTGAGGGTCGCCCAGGACGGCTCGCGCGGCGGAGGGCCGGCTCGGCTCGGACGGAGCCAAGCCGAGAGGATAAACGTCCGATCCAGAGCGCTCGCAGAGCGCTCGCAGAGCGCTCCAGAACGCACCGAGAAGGCCGCGACGCTCGATGCCATCTCCCGCGCCGCCGGATCTCCGAGAGCCTCGCGATGTGTCCCCGCCCGAGGCTCTCCTCGTCCTGGCTTCGCCTCACTGGCTCGATGCTCGTTTGGGGGGCCTTCCTGGGGCCCACGTAACGGATCTGTTCGACTCGGGTTCGACCCCATTTCGAGTCAAATCCGACTCAGGTTCGACTCAGGGTCGGCTCACATGCACGGACGGTCCACGCAGCTTCGACGCACGAGTGGAGCGAGTGTCTCCAGGAGGGTCCCCAGAATGAGCATCCAACACAAGGCTCTCCTCAGGGGCAACGATCGGGGGGGATAGGCATAGGGGGGGATGCATCGACCCCCTATCGCCCATTGATCGCCGATACGGGCCCGATAGCCCCAACCTTCCAGCAAGGTGCGGATCCAGTATCGGAGGCCTATCGCCGATCTATCGGCGATGTATCGCCGACTCCAGGTCGATGCATCCCCCATATGCCAGTCCCCCCCTATCGTTGCCCCTCATATCCTCGTCCTGGCTTCGCCTCACTGGCTCCTTCGTGGGCCTCTCCGGACCCGCTGGGCGTGGCGTGCCGACCGTGGGCCAAGGCGCGCCGCCGGCTGAAGGAGGAGCGGCGGGCAGAAGCGGTCTTGCCCCACCCTCCCGGGGGCGCGTCGCAGGCACGGGCGGGATCGTCCAGGGTTTGGGTGGTGCGGGTCTCCGCCAAGTTCGTCCCCTCGGCTTTGTGTGCACGCCCGCGCTGGCCACCACCGAGTACCTGCCTGCCACGTGACCTCGATGTCCGAGGCCCCGCCCCTCTAGGCTGAGCCGAGCCGCCTTTTCTTTCCACCTCATCCTCGGAGTGGCTATCTTCCAGAATTCGGGGACCCACACTCCCCTCCGCTGCTTCCTCTGCTCTTCTCCTGCTTTGGCCTCGCCCTCTCGCCTCGTCGCCTCTCTCCCGCGTCGCTCCCCTTTCGTCCGTCGCTTGCTGGAGTGTGGGTCCCTCCTCGGGGCGGGGCGGGTGCCTCGGAGGCCTGCCCGTCGCCCGCAGCGACGTGGGCTCGGCACTGGGAGGCCAGCGGGGTGTCCCCCCCAGCCCTCGAGGGGTCTCACGATTTGCGACTGCCTTGGTACGAGCACGTACGACAGGCTGCACGGCGCGCGCTACTCACGACCTCATCGCACTCGCTCGATGATCGTTCGAGGTAGGGCTCTGATTGCACGGGTTCACGCGCGGTCAGGGATCGGCACAGACCACGCGCAAGGCCGAGTCTTCTTCTTCTTTTCCTCCTCCTCCCCTCCTCTCCTCCTCCTCCTCCTCTCCGCCTCCTCCTCCCCCTCCCCCTCCCTCCCTCCCCCTCCCTCCCCCTCCCCCTCCCCCTGCGTCCCCTCATCGTCCTCCTCCTCGTCCTTCCATCCTCCATCCTCCTCCACCCCCTCCTCCTCCTCCTCCTCCTCCTCCTCTATCCTCCATCATCCTCCATCCTCGATGTCCGCGATCCTCTGGCAGCGCCCGCGCCTCCTGCTCTGGGCTCCACCCTCCTTGCGCCCCCTCGATCACGCGCAAGAGATCTGGCGACTCACGCAAAAGCACGGCTGCCGCTTTCTCCACTGCGAGTGACCCTCCGTAGGCCGACTTCGGGCTACCCCCGGGGCAAAAGTATCAACAGCACCTCGGTGCGAAAAGCCGGCCTGACCCTCCGGAGGCCCGTTTCGGGCCCCAGGGGCAACAGCAACAGCAGCAGTTCGGTGCGAAAAGCCAGCCGTGCGGATGTTGCAGAGGTATGCAGAGCCCCGTGGCTCGAACAGTTCAAGTCGGCGGATGAGTGGTATCAGGAGCATTGTGAGGGGAGATTGGTGGTCATTACGTCAGGGAGACAAGTACCGACCAGAGCAACGACGACGATCAGGGACGAGGTATGCTTACGATGCTCGCCGAAGCAGGGCGTCTGGAAAGGGACCCGCGGAGGTGGAAGAGAAACATAACGAAGATGAGAGTGAACCAAGGAACATGGAGGGGGGGTGGAATAGTCCATGCCAGGGGCGAATGTAATATCATGCTCCATCCTGTCCTGTCCGAGGAGGGTTCCATGGAGACCCTGATCAGCGAACTGGAGGCGAAGCTCGCAGAGATGCAGAAGGCGTCTCCGAATCTGACCCCCATCATCTCGGACCTGGACGTGTCGCAGAACCATGTCACGCCCGAGCAGCTGGAGATGCCTTCCCGTGGGAGAGGGAGGAGGTAGGAGAAGGAGGAAGAGCAGCAGGAGGAGGAGCAGGAGCAGGAGCAGGAGGAGGAAGAAGAGGGGGAGGAGGAGGAGGAGAAGGGGGAGGAGGAGGAGGAGGAGGAGGAGGAGGAGCGGGAGGAGGAGGAGGAGGAGGAGGAGGGGGAGGGGGAGGGGGAGGGGGAGGGGGAGGGGTAGGAGGAGGAGGAGGAGGAGGAGAAGGAGGAGGAGGAGGAGGAAACAGGAAGGAGGAGGAGAAGGAGGAGCAGGAGGAGGAGGAGGAGGAGGAGGAGGAAGGAGGAGCGGGAGGAGGAGGAGGAGGAGGAGGGAGGGAGGAGGAGGAGGGAGGCAGGAGGAGGAGGAGGAGGAGGAGGAGAAGGAGGAGCGGGAGGAGGAGGAGGAGGAGGAGGAGGAGGAGGAGGGAGGAGGAGGTCGAGGACCTTTTCCCTCCTTCGCCCCCCGCTCTCCCCTCCTCCTGACGAGTTGCGCACACCTCGGCCACGAGACGGCGCGCGAAGGAGAGGGACCCAACACTCCTTGGCGGCGGCAGTCGCCATGAGCACGATCCAGGGGTGATACTTCGGCTCAGGATCTTCGAGGCTCGAAGTTTCGAGGCTCGAGGCTTTCTGTTGGCTTCGGCGGTTCTCGGCGGCTTCCCAGCCTCGCGGGGTGCCTTCCGGCGGCTGCGCCTCGCCGAGAGCGAGCATGCCGGGGGTGTCCCCGGATCGTCCCCCACGGCCGCCGGAGATATACGTGACCCGAAAACCATCAGGGGATCAGCTCAGGGGTAGGGGGAGGACGAGGGGGAGGGGGAGGGGAGTGGGAGGGGGAGGGGGAGGAGGGGAGGAGGAGGAGGAGGAGGAGGAGGGGAGGAGGAGGAGGAGGAGGAGGAGGAGGAGGAGGAGGAGGGAGGAGGAGGAGGAGGAGGGAGGAGGAGAGGAGGAGGAGGAGGAGGAGGAGGAGGAGGAGGAGGAGGAGGAGGAGCGGAGGAGGAGGATCGGAGAGTGGTCTCCTGGCTCCAGTCACTCGCCCCAAGGCAGCCATCCCGGGTCAGCAGGTTTAGCATTGTAGGCGTGAGGTGTCCGACCTGCAGACATCCAGCTTGTCCAGCAGCTGTACGTGGACCGGTGCGCCACACCGAAGGCGTGTCGCCGCTGACGTCCTCAACACACAGGCTCTCCCACTCCGATGCTCGACGGCGTCGGAAGCGCAGACCGACCCCCGAGGGCTGGAGTCTTCAACTGGGCAAGACGAATAGGTTGAGCTGCTATTTGTGGTGCATGGGCAAGACGAGCTCATGCACACCTCTGGACACAGAAATCGAGGCTCCTCCATACGATGTGATTCTTAAGCGTTGGGGTCGATGCACGCGCAGGCGTGCGCCCGTGGAGTGACAGAGGCGCAGATCCTAATTCGATTTCCGTGCATTCCATTTTGACGCTGGGCCAATCGTCGGGTGGTTGCGCTGTTTTTTGTTCGCTGCTTCTCCTCCCCCCCCAAAAAACGATGCTAGTCTCGAGCACCTCGTCCACAAGCGATCGGTTTTCACAGCCTGGTGGCGATGAAAAGTGCGTCTCCACATTGCAGCCGCACAGACAGCGCGCACATGAGCGCCGCGCAGGCACCTCGCAAGCAAGATCAGGCCATCAAGTTCAACCCCCTGGCTCGTGGACTCCGCCCTCCCAACGGTACAGCAGAGACGTGAACGCTCTGAAATCCCCTCCGTCAATTCTCGAGGCGGGCTCATCGACGCATGCCTCGCACGACCAGCGACGCACCACGCATCGAGAAAGACCCGGCTGCAGCCAGGATGCGACTGCAGCCTGCAGCACGAGCAGCGAAGCTCTGGGCACCGACCGTGCACCAGCAGCACGAAAGACGACGCGACAGCGACTGGCTTCGGCACGGCCCACCCTCCACGGCTGACCGGCACGGCGACGGCGGCTGCGACACTGTGCATCCCATAGACAGACCGTGGTGTTTTTTTTGGGGGGGGGGGCGACAACGACAACACATATTGATTTCGCCAGTGTTTTACGATGTTGGTCATGTTTTCCAAGCCTTTCTATCCTCCCTGATCTTCCCTTTCCTCATCGTCACGTCGTCAGCACATCGCATCCTCCCCCCCTCCCTTCCCTGTGTTGTTCTCTTTTTCGGTTCGCTTCATTCAGTGTGACCGTGGGTCCAGTGTGTTCGGCACGCTACGCGGCGCGCTGAATCATTCATTGAGCGGTATCAACATTTGGGCGACAGTACAGCAGCGGAGAACATTGCCAACGGACCAACTGACGCCAAGCGCGAACAGTGCAGCTCGACGTGCCTGACCAGCAGTGCAGCGGCAGTGAGACATCGACCCACGACGCCACGACGACACGGCTGCCGCAAATATGGCGGACAACTTACGATCGTTGGCCAGCACCAGCCAGGCATACAGTAGGCGCATCAAAGTGCGCGGCGACGATGGCGACACATCGGTCTGCGAGCGGGTGTGCCAGTTTTCAGGAGGGGAAGAAACACACAGACACAATTAATCGTCGATCCCCAGGAAAATATGGGAAAGTATGGGGAGCGGGGGGAAGACAAAAACACAGGAAATATGGACAAATATAGGGGATCTTTTTATTTGTGTGTATTTATGTGTGTGTCCCAGGGCCCCTTCAATTTTCCAAGCCGGCCAGATCCAGGCAAACCGCTTATGGTTGCCTCCACGCTGCGTTGCGCACGCGCCGCGCGGAAGCGACTCGCCCGCCTTCCACTCTTCGGGCTCTGCGAATCGATCTGCGTGAACGATGCGACGACGCCGACGCACCTCAGTGTGCGCGACGACGATGGCAATACATCGGTCGGCGAGCGAGTGTGCCGCTATCCACACCGACCAGGTGCAGGGCAGCCATAAGCGGTTCGAAATGCCGCATCGGCGCGACGAAAGTGTTGACCCGCTTCGTGTGGCCATCAAGACAAGTCTTAGGCGGGAAAGCCACTGCGAATTCGAGCTGAAGAAGTGCCGTCTTCTATGTTCGAGGAAGTCCTGGGCGGGAACACCATGTCGAGGTCGAGCCAGGAGGGTGTCGAATTCCATGTGTCAGGAAGTTCTGTACGGGAGCGCCATTGCGAAATCGAGCCCGAGAGGCTACGAATTCTGTTTCGGAGGGTGTCCTGGACGGGACCGCCATTTCGAAATCGAGCCAGGGATATTTGGGCGGGGGCGCCATTTCGAAGTCGAACCCGAAAGTTTTGAAATCGTTCGAAATTGTTTCCAGCCGTCCTGTGATGTTGGGTCCTCGTTTTGAAGCGACAGCGCCCCGCGTCTCCTCTCCTTTCCTCCTCCTCATTCCCCCTCCCCCTTCTCCCACGCTTGCGTCTGCTCTCCGCGTGCCCATGCCATGTCGGCACACCCCTTCACACGCTTGGCGGCCCCACAGGGAACTCCGCCGAAGGCCCCAGCACGGTTCACATGGCACCGCCGCCTCAGTTTCGGCACACCCCTCATACGCCTCGCGGCCCCATCGGGAGCTCCGCCGAAGGCCCCAGTGGCAGGGTCCACATGACACCGCCACCTCCATTCTCGCACACCCCGCACACGCTTCGCGGCCCCATAGGAGATCCGCCGAAGGCCCACGTGGCAGGGCTCGCATGGCACCGCCGCCTCCATTTCGGCACACCCCTCACACGTTTCGTGGCCTCATCGGGAGCTCCTCCGAAGGCCCCTGTGGCAAGAGCTCGCATGGCATCGTCGCCTCCATTTCGGCACGCTCCTCACACGCTTCGCGGCCCCATGGGGAGTTCCGCCGAAGGCCTCAGTGGCAGGGTTCGCATGGCACCGCCGCCTCCACTTCGGCACTGCCACAGCGTTTGGCATTCAACATCTTGAATTTCTGACCAGGGACTTCGAAAGTGTGGTTTTCGCTTGAGACTTCCTCCAACAAAAACGATCCCGATTGGATTTCGAAATCATCGGGCTCGAATTCGAAATGGAGATTCCGCCCGAGACTTGAGCAAAACAGGGCTTGACCAGAGCATTGTGGTGGGGCCCTGCGGCCCGCGGCCTCACGGGCCCTTTTGACGTCTCCTTTCGTGTCGCGGGCGCAACGCCACTGACAACGTTGTAACTCAGAGCGTGAATTACCTGCCCCGCCTTCGCTTCCAGGCAAAACCGAGTCACACCACGCGCCTCCTCTTCAAGCGGCCTGACCAGTGCAGGCCGTAGTTTGGCATCGCTTGGTATCTCTTGGAAGCGAGGGTGGTCAAAAGCGAGGTACACCTTAGGCGATGCTTAAGAAAACCCAAGTTTTCGGCCAGAGTCTCGATTATTCTTGATGTTTCAACGTAAATCCTAAGATTTTAATAGAGATGTTGGGTTTTTATTCAAGTTCTGAGACTATGAATTTCTTAACCCATGATTTCTTAAGCATTTCGCAGGGTGTAGGCTTGTTTGCCCCCTAGTGACGGGGCCCCGTCGCCGAACGGGAGGCGCTGCATGCTGGCCGAACTGTCGCAGCGGCGGTGCAGCGTGCTCCGCGGATGGCAGCACAGCTCGCCGGCCCACGCTGGCTAACCTTCTCTTTTGTAGCTTGCCTCCATCTCCCCCGCGCTCTCTCGCTCTCTCTCGCTCTCTCTCGATCTCTCTCACTCGCTCTATCTATAGGCATATATGTCTCGTTCTCTCTCTCTCTCTTTCTCTTTATCTCCCTCTCTCATTCTCTTTCTTTCCCGTGCATCTGTATATACACGTATATATATGTGTGTATATGTGTATGTGCATGTGTGTCTTTCTGCTACCCGAAGGCTCTGGAGGCCACGGCCCCACCCGCCTCTCCTCACCTAGACACGGACGCCCGTCTGCGACGGTGGTCTACCTCCCGGTGTCTGTCCTTCTCCTCCCCCCTCCCCTCATGAGGAGGGGGAGGGGGAGGAGGGGGAGGAGGAGATTCCCTCCTCATCTCTCCCTCCCCTCGGTCCACCTCAGCCTCCCGCCCTGTCCACGTCCTGTCCCCTCGTCCGACCCCTATCCTCCTTCCCCGCTCGTCCTCGTCTCTCCCCCTTTCCCCCCTCTTCATCTCTTGCTTCGTTCTCGTCCACCTGCTTCCGCTCTCCGAAACCTGCTCGGCCTTCCACCTCAAACATCCCTAGACATCCAATGCATTGTGTTTCTCATGCGGTGTCTTCGGATGTCCCGACTCTTTCCCCTGGGCCGGTTTTTCATCTCTGGGCCCGGCGAGGTCCCCCAGAGGCCAGAAACGACGGAACGATTTCGCAGCGTTTTGCTTCATCTTCTCGACGTTTCGCGTAGCCCCATCCGGCCCATACAGAAGCGATGCCCAGACGAGTTGCCCTGACCAGGGATGTCGAGGAGCATGCAATGGAATAAAGGGTTTGGATAAGACGTCATACCCCAAGAGGGGGAGGATGGAGGAGGAATCGGAGGAGCAGGAGGGGAGGAGCAGGAGGAGTAGCAGGAGGAGGAGGAGGAGGAGGAGGAAGAGGAGGAGGAGGGGGGCAAGCTAGGTGCGCTAGCGTCACATCTGACGTCCTGCCCCTCCCTCCCATTCCTTACCATGGCGTGGATCTCCGAGCTATTCGCACAGTCGGACGTCGAGCAGGGCCATATTCCCAAGCAGGTACGCGATGCATGGAAAAGCATGGCGTAGAAGAGTACGGCAGAGCATATAATGTCATAGCATGGCGTGGCGTTGCGTAGTGAAGCATTTCATCACAAAGCATGGCAACGCAAAGCATGACATCGCACATCGGTGCACAACACAGCATCGCATTGCATTGCATTGCATGCCGTGGCATGGCACCAAATGACTTGGAGTGTACGTGGTCCATCTACGAGAGGACAGGGCCTGTCCAGAATGCCGGCTCTACGTCCTCCGCAACCGTGCTTGCTCGATGTGGGCGTTTACGAATGCCCAGAGCCGTCTGGAGGCGCGGGAACCAGGCCAGCGCTGCAGCGGGAGCACGAGTTTGATCGACCGAAGCGCAGAAATGAGGGCGGCGCTGCAGCGGGAACACCATGTCGGAAGAACCAGAAAGGACCGGATTGAAAAAAAACGAATCAGAGAAAAAACACCCAACAATGAAGTCTTGTGTGTAAAAAAACCGTACGTGGAGAGGACGGAACACTTTCCGGACAGAGGCGGGGGAGTAGGAGGAGCAGGAGGAGGAGGAGGAGGATGAGGCGGAGGAAGGCGAGCAGAAAGGCGAGTGGCCTCATGATGCCCCTCGGAGTCTCTTCGGATGTCATTCGTGAGCTTGTTGGAGTCCACTGGGGCGCCTTGGAGGTCTCTTGTCAGTACCAGGCCTCTTGGGGCCCTCCTGCGGGTCTCTTAGGAGCCTCATGGAGGTATCTTGGGGGCGTCTTGGGGGCCTCTTGGGGCTTCCTGGGCCTCCTGGGAACGTCTTGGGGCACCCTTGGGAGCCACGGGGGCCATCTCGGGGCCATGTTGGAGGAGATCGATCAAAGGAGGGGCCGTACTAAATTAGCCTCCCCCCTTGGTCCTCGGAGGCTAACATGTGGCCAAAACGGTAGTAAGATTAATGATGTAGATTTTCTCGCCGAGGCCACTTGGGGCATCTTGGGGGCCTCTGAGGGGCCGCTTGGGGGTCTCTTGAGGCCTCTTGGGGCTTCTTGGGTGGCTCGTTGGGCCTCTTTGGGCCTTCTTTGGTCACCCTTGAGAGCCTCTTGGGTCATCTTGGGGCCATCTTGGCGGAGATCGATCAAAGGAGGGGCCGTACTCAATCACGCCCCCCCACCCAGGAGGCAAACATGTGGCCAAAACCTTGGTAAGCTCAATTATGTGAGCCTTCTCGCCGAGGCCATTTTGGACGCTCTATCTGCTCGGGGCTCCTCCCCTTCCAGACTCTGGGGTATGGGGGTAGTGGGAGGGGCCAGGACACCTTCCAGGTAGCAAGCCGTCTAGCTCACTCCTACCCGCCCTCCCAACACATGAGTAACACCCGAGCCTCAGCATGTTCAGCGGTCGTGTGTTGGATGGCAGCTACTGGGAACCAAAACCGAGCCCATGTTGCGCGACGCTGGGGCGAGGAGCGCCACGCGTGCCAGGCGCGCCACGCGCGCCAGGCCCCTCTGGGGCCCGAGCGTGCCAGGCACGCCTGGTGCGCCAGATGCGCCACGTGCCTCCGCGTGCGTCAGGTGTGCCGTATACTCCAGCCTCGCAAGGTGCGCCACGTTCGGGGCACGTGCAGAGTGTGTCAGGTGCGCCTGCGCACGTCGCAGCACACATCGGGAAGCATGTCGGCCTCCACCATCACTGTCGAAAGCCAATGCCCATCATTGTGTCTGCTGGGCCTGCGCACAGCAGGCCATACGCCACCACCCCCGCCGACTCTGTCAAAAATCATTTGGCAATGATCGCGGGGTGGCCGCGCATGATCCAGATTTAGCCTCGATGTGCATGTTGTATTGTGTTTTGTCAAGGGTGGTAGCCCTGCGCACAGCAGGCACTATGCTGACACCCCCGCCTTCCCTATCAAAAAACAGTACAAAGTACTCGCGGACCTCACGAAGATGACTCCAGACTTTGCCCCAAAGTGTACTTCGCATTGTTTTTCGAAAGGGATGGTGGCGGGGGGGCGCATCGGATTGGTTGCTCATGCTCCGAATTTGGAGGCAGAGTGCTGTTTGTGTTGTCCTTTGACGGGGATGGTGTGGGGGGTGGGGGGTAGAGCATAATTCCCGGTGCGCACGTGCACGTGACATCACACATGCACGTGACAGCACACATCGGGAAGCATGTCGGCCCCCACCATCCTTGTCAAGAACCAGTGCGCAATCGCGGCGGGGAGGCCACCGTGGTGTCTGGTGGTCCTGCACACAGCAGGCAGTATGCCAGCACCCCCGCGGCCCTTGTCAAGCACCCATGGACGGTGATCGCGGGGGGGCAGCGCATGCTCCAGATTTGCCCGCGGAGTGTATTTTGTAGTCTTGTTTGTCGCAGGGATGGTGGCCTTGCGCGAAGCAGACAATACGAGGGCCCCCCGCCGACCTGGTCAACAAACAATGCAAGGCGCTCGCGGGGCCGACGAGCATGACCCAAGATTTTGCCCCAAAGTGTGCTTCGTTTTGTTTTTGACCGGGTTGGAGGGGGTGTTAGCATTAGTCCGTATGAGCTACTAGTCGTCTGGGGGAAAGGGCATTGATTCATAGCCCCTGTGCGACCCGACCTAAAAGTTGGAGCCCCTAGGAAAGCAGCATTAGTTGCTATACTATGCTATGCTATGGCATGCTATGCTGCGCTATGTTATGCTACACTATGCTTTAATATGTTACGCTGTGCTATGCTATGCGATGCTATGCTAAGCTATGCTATGTCATGCTGCGCCGTGCTATGCTAAGCTATGATCTGCTATGCTATGCTAGGCTAAGCTGCGCTATGATATGCTATGCTATGATATGCTATGATATGCTGCGCTATGCTAGTATATGCTATGATTGGCTATGTTATGATATGATATGCTATGCTAATGCAGCGCTGCGCGATGCTAAGCTAAGCTAAGCTAAGCTAAGCTAAGCTAAGCTAACCCGCGGCAGTGGCGGCAGCGGCGGCTAAGATAACCTGAGCTAAGATGAAGCTAAGCTCAGCTAAGATGAATTAGGTTAAAGTAAGATGAGATAAGCAGCGCTAAGCTAAGGGGACGTAACTGGGGGAACTGTGGGGCGGATGCTGGGGGAACCGCACGGGGCGGGTTACACTACCCGGCCCCATTAAGAAATAGAGTAAGAACCCTCTAGGCAGAGCCTAGGTAGGGAATGATCAACCTAACCTTTCCCCAATGAGAGAAAGGCTTGGTAGAGGAAACTCGCTGGGATTTGGGAGGTATGGGTCATCCTTTTAGTTCCCCTGTGTTCGCAAATGTCCTTCACTCATTCGCCTTGTCCGTGAAGCTCCCTTCCCTCCAGCTCCTGTGGCAGAGGAGACGCTTCTGTCCACGGTTTCCACCAGCGGCATCACGGTGAAGCGTTTCCGGATGTTCGGGATCCCAACGTTCAACGACGAGGCGATGTGGTCCACAGCTCCCCCTCGCTCGTCCTCCCTCCTCGTCTTCCTGCTACTCGGCGTCATGCTCCTCGTCATCCTTCGTACCTTCGTGCTATTTCTCCTCCGTTCCTCCTACTGATCCCTCCTTCTGCTCGGCCTTCTCCTGGAATTTCCTACTCCTTCTGCTGTATCCTCCTCCTGAGCATCCTCCCTGCCCTACTTTCCCAGCTCGTCCTCCCTCATCGCTCTCATCACTCTCAGCACTCTCCCTCCTTCCTCCGTTCTCCCCCGCCTTCCTCCCTACGCTGCCTGGGTGTCCAGGCGATGCGGATACTAGCGGACCATCTGAGGTCGCTGTCGTCGAAGGAGGCGGCTCCCACGGAGATGCACTTGTCCGACTGCGCCATCACCAGCGAGGGGTTCACGCGGGCCTCACGTGGGTGGGGGCACCTGGACCTCTGCGTGCAGACAAGACGTTGCAAGCAGAACCTGCTTGGTTTTCAGGAAGGGCTCTGCTTCTTTGGGGCCGTTCGTTGGAGTCGGACCGTGGAGCTTGGTCGTGGCCGAGGCTCGCGCGGCCACAGAAGCTCCTTCGCTCCCTCTTCGGCGTTCCTTCTGGGACGGTGGGGGCGTTGGTCAAGGAGTGTGCCCAGGAGGCTTCCGACCCTGGGGGGGGTCCTTCTCCGATGAGGGCCGGCGGTGATCTCCATGGCCGATCCACGATCTGGGTTCCGTTGGCTCCCAAGCCTTGGGCTCCTCATCCAGTGGTTCCTTGCCCAATGCCCACACCGCAGCACCATGACTGTACACCTTAGGCGATGCTTAAGAAAACCTAAGTTTTCGGCCAGAGTCTCGATTATTCTTCATGTTTCAATGTAAACCCTAAGATGTTAATAGAAATGTTGGGTTTAAATTCAAGTTCTGAGACTATGAATTTCTTAACCCATGATTTCTTAAGCATTTCGCAGGGTGTACTGGCATGGCCCCCTCATCGAGGAACCAACGGGGGCACCTCTCGGACCCTGCGACTGCCGTCCGGGAGGCCCGGCTCACCGCAGGCTGAAGGCAGCCATTCGCGGAGCCCCAGATTTGGGCACGCAGTAGGGGTCCTGAAGAAGGAACCCTTTTCGTTGGGGAGGGGCTCCGCGTTCCTTAAATGTTTCACAGCTTGCCTCAGGCTTTCCTTCTGTTTTCGACCGGAAATCGAAGGTTAACTTATGGGAAAAAGGGGCCCCGTTCCTTATTCAGGGTTCCTTAGGTCAACGCCCCGACGGTAAGAGTGAGGGGGCGGCGGAGACGTCGGAAATCTGAGCGGCTTGGAAGACGCCCCCCGCAGACGCCGCGGCCCCCCCTGGCATTGCCTGGGGGGTAGGGTCGTTGCGCCGACCGAAGAAGTCTACGCGGAATTTCTCGAACGTTTATCTTTACCCGGACCTTCATTACCTTTTCTCAATGGGAAGGTGTCTTTCTGTTTACCATACTTGGCCTCCAGCGGCCCTTGTCGGGCACCAGGCTCGTTCAATAACGACTCAGGATGGAGCGCTGGCCCTGGGGAAGGGGACGGGACTTCGGGGGGGCCGGATTGAAACCATGAGTCGGATATTTGGATTTGCCGATGCTTTTCTTCTAAGCAGCCTCTGATCATCCATCACTCCCCGGAACACCATGACACCATGTCCTGGACAGCGCGTGTGTAGCGTTTTTTTTTTTTGTTCTGTGAGGGTGCTTCCCAAAAGGGAACAGCGCCTGAGTAAACCGTAACTTGCACCTTTGCCTGTGCGGCACCCAGGCAAGCTCGGCTTCTTAGAGGGGGCACGCCGCAATGCAACACGGCACGTCCTGCAGATTGTCAGCATGACGTTGTCGGAGCAAATGAGTGCACAGTTGACAGCGGTGGCCGAGAGCCACGAGGTATTCTTTCGGCCAGCGTAGACCGTTTCATCTTCCCATGGCGATCTCCGGCAGCCCTGGTAACACCCGTGGCCACAAGCTCTCAGTTGTGATTGGCATCTGCCCTGGCTCACCACCGGAGCATCGCCAGGACTCTGATGTGGCACACGGCCGACATCCTCGAGGTCAACCTTGCGCCATGTGGGCAGAAGGTGGACTTCCAGTGTGCACCCTGCGTGGGCCACGGATCGGCGCCGCCAGAAGGTGGGCACCTGTTCGGCCGTGGGCTGGGGATGGATGGAGACCCGGGCCTTGGCAGCTTCGTCTGCGTGAGACTCCAGCGCCCGAGGTCACTCACGATCAACCCCTCTTCTACATCCGCCACAAAAATGTATACACAGGCGCCCTCCAATGGATTGCTCCTGGGCCACAGGGGAGGGTGGCGGTGTACAAATCAACTCTGAGAGCCAGCGACTTTATACACTGCCGCCCTCCCTGAAGGTGCATGCAGAATTTGTCGGAGGGCGTCTGTGTATTCGTTTCCATGGCGCACTACAATCGGCACGTCAAATAAGAATCCGGCCTGCCAACAAGTCTCTGATCCCCGATGGTTCTGGGGGCCCACCGAAGATCTGGGGCACCTCAGCACCCGAAAAGATGGACGAATAGCCCAAAGGTTTCCCATCGCAAGAACTATCATCGTATGTGTCTGCTGTAGAGGAAGGCGGCTGTGGAGGAAGGTGGCTGTGGAGGAAGTGTGCGCGCGCCTTCTCAACATTCTGTAAGTCGTGGCCGGCGCGCCAGGCAACGAGCTACAGCCCCCCGCCGTGAGGAGGGGCAGGAGGAAAAGGAGGAGAAGGAGGAGGAGGAGGAAGAGAAGGAGGAGGAAGAGGAGGAGGAGGAGGAGGAGGAGAGCCTCAGGGGCAACGCTAGGGAGGGATAGGCTCAAGGGGGACGAATTTTAGCTTTCGAGGTTCGATATTCGAGGGCATTTTCGTCGGTTCTCGGCGGCTTTCCAGCCTTGGACCGCCTTCCAGCAGCTGCGACTTGTCGAGGGCGTTCCAGGGGTGCCGAAGTGGTCCCGACAGGCCCCGGAGGGCCGAGTCCTGATCCGAAAGCCACGGGGCACCGTTGGGGGGGGGCAGGCTCAAGAGGGTGACGCATTGACGCCCGCTGGTCCACTCCTCCTCCTCCTCCTCCTCCTCCTCCTCCTCCTCCTCCTCCTCCTCCTCCTCCCCGCTCAGGAACCTTCGGTTTCTCTGTCGTGGGCCTATCGCCGATCCACCAGCGGTGTATCGCTGGTGCCAGGTCGGCGTTCCCCCCCCCCCACACACTGGGCCAGTCCCCCCCGCGCTCCCCCTCGGAGGAGAGCCGCGAGCGTCTCGACTGGCCCTCTCCTCCGACGCTCTTCGCAGCCCCCACTGGCCTTCGTCGGCGAAAGGCATGGTGTTATCCGTATCCGCGGCCTCGCGGTCCTGGGCCCCTGAGCCGCGACCCCGCGGACACGGCGCGCGTTTCGCGGGTGCCCCGCGCGGAACGCAACCGTGCGACCGCGCATCCGCGGGATCGCGCCCCAGAAGCTAGGCCGCGAAGGCGCGGATACAGATGTACGTTTGCCGCTCTTGACACTCCCCGCTGCCCCGGGCAGGCGCAGTGCCTTTCGGATCGGGCGCTGCGCTTTGGGGGAGGGGTGGCCTTAAGGTGGGGGTGCAGTGAGGTTCACCCTTTGTGCCCTTGTCGTGCATCGGGGGCCCCGCTGGGGCCCCAAAAGGGGCACGAAAGGTTCACGTTTCTCTCCCCCCCCCCCCCAGTTTATCGCCCCCCACCATCGAGAACAAAAGAACCCCTAAGCCCCTAACCCTAATAACACGATGAAGACGTGGCCTCTCTTAGGTCCCCGTCTTCGCAGCAGGGATACTAGATCTGGGAGCTCTGGTCCGACGCATCTGCAGAAACAGCAGGCCCCCCCACCCCTGATGTTCTGGCCCTCCGAACTTCTGTTCCCTCCCAAAGGGTCAGGGGTGCGGCGGCGCCCGGGATGACGATTCGAAAAAGCCGGCCGCGGGCTGAAAAACACTTACTTTTTCATCGTTCTCCTCCAGTCAGGAAGTTGTGCAGACATAGCAGAAAACTATTCTTTTCATCGTTCTCTCACATTTTCTATGAATCGTCATCCCGCATTGCTTCTGCTGCTCTTCACCCCCTGCAGCAGCACCCACCTCGACGTGCCGGGAGCCGGCGCGCGGCCCCTTTGCCGCCGACGCCAGGCCGGCGCGGGCCTCAGGCCGGGCGCCCTCGGGCAGTCGCGCGCTGCCGCGCGCGGCCAGCGCATCGTGGGATCCGCCGCCGCCGCCGCCGATGCCGATGCCGTCGACGCCGCCGCTGCCGTGGTCGTCGTCGTCGTCATCGTTCCTGTCGTCGTCGTCGGGGATCCTGCTGCTCCCCCCCCCCCTTCCGCCCCCTCCTGCCCCCGAGAGGTTCTACCACCTGATGAGTGCGATCGAGGAGACGGACCTGTTTCCGCTTCCCCCCATTCGCGGGAAGGTCGCGCTTGCCTCCGATTCCACGTCATTCCGTCTTCCCCTTCTTCATCTTCCTCCAGCGCCGCCGAGCAACCCCACGGATGAGTCGAAAAAGCCCTAGGGCCCCATGTCAAGGGTTTAATGATTTATGCAGTCCCCCGACTCCCAGTGGAATTTTATTGATATGTTGTAGAGTTTGTGTTGATCTCGTTTTGCATACCTCGTACTTCGATGTTCCATCCGGGCTTGCATCGACTGACGTATGTGTACCTTTATGTGTCTAGCTGGAACCCCGCACTTCGACTGGAGAAGAGTCGTGAAGCGATCACAACCTATCACGTGAAACTGTTATACTTGTCCTTCTCGTCATCGTCCTCCTCTATCTTTCGTTAAGGGCTTAATGACTGATGCTGCACCTCGACCACCGGTGAAACTCCATCGATTAGTGTCAGAGTGTGTTCGGTTCTCGCTTTGCATACCTCGGACCCCGATGTTCCATCCAGGTTTGCATCGACTGACGTATGTGTACCTCGGTGTAGCTTGTTCCCGACACTTCCACTGGAGAAGAGTCGTGAAGCCCTTGAGGATCCTCCTCCTCCTTCTCCGTCTCCCCTCCGTCCCCCTCTCTTCTTCTCAGCATTATCCTCCCCATCTACGTCGCACTCTGTCAGGGCATGCTGGCTTGCGGTCGTCAGCTCCGATCTTGGTTGCCGTTTCCTTCGCTGCTCCAATACAGGTCTTCTCTCCTCTCTCTCTCTCTCTCTTTCTTTCCCTCTCTCTCTCTCCCCCTATTTTATGGCATAGCAAAAGAAATCATCCTTCCGCATCATTCAGGCGGTCCTCCTCTCTCTCTCTCTCTCTGCGCCGCTAGGGTGACTTCAGCTTCACCTCTTCCTGGTTATCCGTTATCCTGCTGCGCCTCCTGCTCCTCCTCCTCCTCCTCCTTCTCCTCCTCCTCCTCCTCCGCACCCTCCTTGCGCTCTTCCGCCTTACCTTTCGCCCCATTCGCCGCCGCCTCCTCCTCTCGCGACGACGCTTGTTCCCCGGAGCGAACGCCACCCCCAACTGAAATTCGATCCGAGCGACTGCTGGTCGGAGCGTTCGTCGGAGCTCCCAACGAAACGCCTGGCGAGGCGAGGTGCCCGCCTTGCACGCTCTCGGACGACGCTCGCAGGCGACTGTTCTCCCCCAGAGCCCCCGACTCTTCGACGAGGAGGTCAGCCGCTCAGCAAGGGAGGGAAACCCGGGGATGCACCCCAAGGGGACTACTGGGGCGCACCCGCTGCCGAGGATGGACGCCCGCCCCCCTCTTCGTGCCTCCCAGGGTGGGGCCCCACACTGCTAGCCCACTCCCAAACACCATGGAGCCCGGGGCGAGGCTCGCCTCTCGAGCCCTCAGCGTCAGGCTCCTATATGCCGCCACGCTGGTTCCGGGCAGGCTGTGCTGTCCGGCGGACGGGGACGAGGAGGGGAGAAGCAGGCAGACGACGACGAACGCCCAGGCGGGAGGCCAGGGCCGGCGGGGCGGGCGGGCAGGCAGGGGGGTCGACAGTGTGCCCTGTCAGACGCAGGCGGTCGGCTGCTGCTCCCGCACCTTGCGCGCAGCACCGGTCGGGCATCCCCTCTCCTCTGGCCTCCGAGCGGCCCGCCCGGGGGGCACATATGGCACGCGGTCTCCCTCGCGGCCTCGCCTCTTCGTGGCTCTCCTCCTGCGCCGGTCCCGCCTCCTGCAGCTGCAGTGTATGGCACGCGAGCGTGCAGCCATACATTTGCGCACTGGAATGCATGGCACGCCCCAAATCTTTTACAACCCCACACATCTACTGCAACAAATCTATTGCACCACCGCCTTTCAGCTCGACCCCCTTTTTGGCCAACCAGATCAGTGCAGTGCGACCCTGGCTCTGCAGGCTCCTCCCTCGCTGCACTGCGGCGTGGCCTGGCAGAGCACACGCGGCCGGGGACGGCCGGCAGAGTCCGGTCTGGGTCAATCAGGAGGGGAAAAAACACACAGACACAATTCATCGTCGATTCCCAAGAAAATATGGGAAAATATGGGAAGTGGGGGGAAGACAAAAACCCAGACAATATGGGAAGATATGGGGAACATTTTTATTTGTGTGTATTTACTTGTGTGTCCTGGGGGCCCTTCAGTCAGGGGCTGCGGCTCGCAGGTCGTTTTTTTCCACTCCGTGACGCGAGTTGGTTTGGTCGCCCCGAGCGGCCCCGGGGGAGGCCTGGACGGGAGGCTGGCGGGCGGGGCCCACCGGTCGCACTGCTGCTCCTCCAGGGCGTTCGAGGAGACCGGAGAGATCCAGAGGAGTTCCCTGCGATCTCCCTAGCATCGCAGGCCCAGAGATTGACACCAACACCAATATCGGCGGTGTGCATCTACCGAGGGAAGAAGATCCCGATCTCGGTGATGGTGGTAATATTCTGGCCTCCAAGGTGGCCGGAATATTGCCACCAACACCGAAATCTAGGATCGTCTTCCCCATGTGGAGGCAGCCCCCCTGTGTTGGTGTTGGTGCCCATTTCTAGGCCTCCAATAGCAAGCTCCATGGTGCCCTGCCAGCTTCCGCAACAAGCCGAGAGGAGTTCTCTCGCAACGGTTCAAATGCTTCCTGCAGCCTGCAGCAACCCAGAGGTTCCCAAATGATGCCAAAGGGCTCCCTACGGCTGCAGTGCACTCACCTGAGAGTTCCGATGGAGTTGCTCCAGAGTGTTTACTTTTTTCTCTGTATCCCCAAGGAGTTTCGTAGAACATGTCAGGCTTTCTTTATGGGGGCTTGTGGTGTTCCCCAAGGGATCTGGCGAGACGAAATCCAAAAATCCGAATGAACCCTTTGGGTTGCTTTGGGAATCTGGCTTCCCTGTGGATTCCTGGCGACGCCCCATGGGGCTCTGGTCCCAGGGGACCTGGAGGACTTGACCCTGATCTCTGACGATGGAAGAAGGGGCTCAGCATGTCGAGCCCTCCCTCGGCTCCAGAGATGGAGGAGCCCCATCCGTGGCCGAGGCTCGACGTGGCCAGCAGAGCCCCGCCGTTCCTGCTTCGGCGCCCCCTTCTGGCAGCGCGCCTGCCCCACCCCACGAGGTCCTGCAGGATACTTCAGACCTCGTAATAAAAGGGAGGGGGTCTGGACCCTCCAAGACAAGCCATTTCAGACCTCCCCCGTGGGAGAACCCTCCGAAACATCATCCCCAGACCCCCCCAGGCCCTCCAAGATAGCCTGGAAGAGACCCCCCCCGAAACGAGACCCCCTTGCCTTTATTACGAAATCTGGAGTGCCCTCCGGGCTCCCGCGCAGTCCCTTCCGCGCCGCTGGTGGCTCCCCGCAGCACGGGATCCGACACGGCTCCCTGGCTCGTCGCCGGGCGCCGCCCCTCGCGGAGCGAGGCCCCCGCCCATCGCGGCGGCTTCCCCGCGCCCCCTGCGAGGCGCCGCCCCCCCCTCTCGCCGCGGAGCGAGGCCGGGCGCCGGTGCGGCGCGGCGTGGCGCCCCCCCCCGCGCGAGGCCCCCCGCCCGCGCGCGCGGTGCCCCACGGCGAGGCGCCGCCTCCCCTCGCGGGGCGAGGCCAGAGGAGCGAAATGTCGACCGGAGCCTCGCAGCTCGGAGGTCCGCGCAGGCTTCTCCGCTGGCATCGCTCGGACGTGTGCTGAGCACTCCGGGCCATCCTGCGGAGAGGTGCACGCGACGGCTGCGGGGGACGATCCAGGGAGAGGAAGCAGGTTGCCAAATGATTTCCAGATGTCTACGACATGTGTCAAACATGTTGTAAGCATGTTTTTTAAACGCATGTCTAGAATATGTTACCCACATTCTTGAACACATCTAAACTTCAATGATCGGACTGTTAGGGTGTCCATTGTCGTGGCATCCACAGCGCTACGGAGCCGAAGAATGCACGGGGAGTGGACGTCCGAGCGATGGCGAGTTCTCCGCAGCCCGCGCGGGGGGAGCTCCCGAACGAAGTGAACCCCACCCTCCCCCTCAGAAATCGTGGGGGGCAGGGGCAGGGTTCGCATGTGGCCCCCCAGGTGACGTCCCCAGTCGGGCGCCGCCCGGGCAGGGTGCGGCGGGAGGCGGGGCCGGGACCGCGCGGGAGGGCACCTCAGCAGACAGCAGTTGCCCCCCCCCCCCCCCCCAGTGCTGAGGAAGGGGTGGGAATGCGTGCGCGCGTCCTCTTCTGAATCCCCCCTCCTCTCGCCTCCCCCCTTTGTCTGTGCTGCTCTCCTTTTCCCCCCATCGCTTACTCCGCTCCCCCCCCCCCTTCCGCCCCCTCTTCTGCTCCGTCCTGCTTTTCCCATCCGCCTTCTCCTCCTCCCCGTATTTCTTCTCCGTTTCCTTCAGCTGTCTCCGCCTCTTCTGCCGCCGCCGCCATCTCACCTTGCTCCTCCTCCGCGCCGCCGCTTTTTCGTGGAAAGGCCACGCCCCTGTACCTCCGGCTCGAAAACAATTACATCGCGGAGTCGTCCATACAGGAGAAGATCGATGCTGGCGTGTTGCGCGCGTTCCAGAAGAGGAACCCATTATCTTTCCATGTTGTTTCTCCTCCTCTTTATCGTCGTCTGCTCCCCACCCTTTCTTCTCACTCTTTCTCCCTTCGCAATTATCCCTCATCTTCCGCCGTCCTTCCTCTTCCGCATCCTCTTTCGTCTTCATCCTTTGTCCGACTTTGGGACGTAATGATTCGTCAGCTCGTCTTGGTCGAGCTATCAGACGTGTACGGCGGGCGGGCTTTTTGCCAGATGCCGCCTTAACGCTCATGCCCTCTGACTCATGAAGTGCTCAATCAGTTAAACGGGTAATTGGCCAATTGTTCTCAACAGAAGACTCTCGCTTCACCACTGTGTTCCTTCGTGTTTTAGTTCCAAAAGCTACGTGGATGAAGTTTGGTGGTTTTCAAGTTGTGGATGTCGCTTTAGCGCCGTGCAGGTTTCTTTTAAGCGTTCCCAGCAGCTCAGCTATACGGATATGGGTTGAATCGTGTTCGGATGTCGTTCTGGCGCCGCGCACGTTGCGTTTAGCTGCACGAGTACAGGGTGCTACACTTCGGATCTCGCTCTACCCCCGCGCAGTCACTGTACGATTGGGCGTTCGCTTGATATCCTCTCGACTGATCTGACAAGAGATGCGAAGTTGTGCGTCCTGGACTGATGGCGGCTCCTTCTTGAGATGGGGTTCTCGTTACTCACTTCCATCAAATGCATGACTCTGTCTCGTGCTTGGCATCGCTCGGACGTGTGCATTTCTTCGGCGAGGACCATCGAGGAGCATTTCGAACCATCTTGCGAAAAAGTACAACATGTAAACGCATGAAGCCAAACGATGCACGGGGCATGCACGTCCAAGCGATGACGAGCTTGGACTGTCTTCCGCCGCTGCACGGCAATGGAGGCCGGTTTTTGTGTCAACAGGGGCGCTCGCCCGTGTCGTAGATGCTCGCCACGCAGAAGCTCCTGACGTGGGAGCCTGGGACGAGAGCGAGAGACTGCGCTGCAGCATCGCTGGTGCATCCTGGGGTGGTAGGAGGAGGAGGAGGAGGAGGAGGAGGAGGAGAAGGAGGAGGAGGAGGAGGAGGAGGGAGGAGGAGGAGGAGGAGGAGGAGTAGGAGGAGGATGCACGAGCCTCAAGCGGCGCGTGTGACCCGCCGCTCGCGCTCGCCGCGCGCCCCACGCGCGACGGGCTCGCGCTCTCAGTGAGCGCCCGCACGCCACGGCCCCTCGGGCTCGGCGTGCCGCCAGCGCGACGGCCTCACGGGCCACTCAGGCCGTCGGCCCGTCGCGCCAGGAGGAGGGGAAGCTGGCCGTCACCCTTCACTCCTGAGCGGGCTGATGGCCACCGCGACCTTGCCCGAGATCGCTGGGGCGAGCCGCTTCTCCAGGCGCGCCACGGCCAGCAGCCCCTTGGCCGACGCGTGGCCGCACGGCGGCGCGAAGCTGGAGGCCCTGGCCGCCCCCACGGCTCCGCAGGCGGCGCACGCGACCAGCGGCATGTCGCGGCGCAGCTCGACGTCACGCTCGGGCTCGATGCGCACGAGCACGTGCGTGCTGAGCCCCCTGGCGGCCAGCTCGGCGTTGCGCTGGAGCGCCGCTGGCACGATGGTGCCTGGGCACTCGCCTGCGCGCTCCACCCAGCGACAGCGGCTGCACCACCGCTTGCCAGGCTCCCCGCGCCAGGCACAGGAGAGCCTGGCGGCCGGCTGCGCCAGCAGCGCCTTCGGCGCGGGGCGCTGTGGCTTCGCCACGCGGTGGGTGGTGTCCCTGCCGTCCAGCGCGCCGCCCACCGCCGACACCCAGAGCGCGACGCCCTCGACCAGCTTGTCGGCCATGACGAGCCTCCTGCGATCCTGATGGCGGATCCGTCCTGCCGCCGCCGCCGACTTGGCGGCCTTGTCCGCCATGCCGTTGCCCAGCCAGTCGCGGTACGAGATCTTCCCGTGGGCGACCATCGCCCTCTGCGTCTGGTGGGCGGGGACCTTCCTGACCTTCAGCCCGCCGTCGCCCAGGCCGCCGAAGTCCTCCAGCTTGGCCCAAACCTCCCTCCAGAGGTGGGCCCACGCCGCGCCGTGCGCGGTGGTGCGCCTCGGGCCCAGCTCCAGCAGACCGCGGTGCACGAAGCCGCTGTCCACGACGACGGTGACGGGCGGCACCGCGAACCTGAGGACCATCAGGAGCGCCATGAGCTCGCCGCCGTTGATGTCGACGTGGGGCTCGCACAGCATCCCCGACGCCCCGCACAGGAAGGCGTCGGCGTCGGCCTCGAGCGCGATGACGGCCCAGGCGACGCTCGCGTGCTGCTCGAAGTCGCCCTCGTACTGCGAGCCGTCCAGGTAGAGCTCGCCAGAGGGGAAGTAGCCGTCGCTCTCGCCCAGCCAGCAAACGTGCGGCGACGGGGCTGGCTTGACGATGCCAGTCGGCGCCGCCCACAGCACGCGCTCCAGCAGGCAGCGCACTTCGGGCAAGTCCGACCTCGTCGCCAGCTCGCGCATCTTGTCGGGCAGCTTCAGCTCTGGCGGCCAACCTGCGCAGCTGCCACAGTGCCTGTGGAGCAGGGTGCCGACCTCGCCGCACAGCAAGCACGAGTCGTCAGAGGCCATGCCCTTCTCGTACTTGCGGCTCTGGCACCACTGGCCGTCGGTGACAACGGATGCGAGATACCCTCGCTCCTTCAGCGTGAGCTTGATGGATGACTGCTTGCCTTCCATGGGATTCGGCCCATGGTCCATCTGCACCGTTGCTCGGCCATGGCGTGGCGACGCTGGCCGCTGCCCAGCTGGTCCTGACCTTTCGAGCACAGCAGAAACAGGCGACGTAGACCCCTGGCCAGCGGGTCCTGACCTCTCGAGCTCAGCATGTGGCGACGCGACCGCTGGCCAGGGGGTTCTGACACCGAGCTCAGCAAAGCTTGGCAACGACGACCGCTGGACAGCGGGTACTGACACCAGCTCTGGGCAGACCGCCACCGCCATCGGAGGGACTGAGGCTGCGTCGGCGACTCCAGCTGAGGCCACTGCGGCGCGCCTGGCAGGCGTCTCGTCGAACTGCTCCTCCGCGCTGATCATGGATCGCGCGTGCCGCGCCGCCTGCACGTCCCACTCGTCAGGGTCCTGCACTGCCAGCCGCATCATGTTGGCGTGGTAGCGGGCTCTGATGCGCTTCCTGGCCGACCAAGCCGACTCGCAGAGGTCCTGGGCCATCTTCAGCCTGGCCACGCCGAGGTTGTCGATGTCGAGGGAGCGCGCCGTCTCGGTGACTAGCGGCAGCCACGTGCCGTGCGCCAGCAGGTCGGCCACGTAGGAGACGCACAGCCTTAGCCAGTGGGCCTTGTTACCGTCCTCGTCGAGCGTGGCAATGTCCTGGATCCAGAAGGTGGTGTAGGCCCTCAGCCGCTTCTCCAGCACCATGCGCGCGTACACAGCCGCCCTCCTCACAGGATCTTGATCCTTGGCCTCCATGACAGCCAGCTGCCGACCGAAGACGCCCTTGCGGCCGACGGCACCCGAGGAGGTCATCGTGATCAAGGGCTCGATGATCCCCCCGCTCGCGAGGTGCTCCAGGCCAGGCCTTTTGCTAACCTCACGCCATTGCCACGCTTGAACTGCTCGCAGGAGAATGCGCTTGACCGACCACGGCCCCAGCTCGAAAACATGAATGTCGTAGCCCTCATGCGTGCGCCACAAAGTAGGGCTCAGCACCTGCCAGCCAACTCTCTCGAGCGTGAGCCTCACCGCGCTGAAGGGGCCCTTGACCTGGCCCCAGCTCGCCGCCTGGCAGCAAGTGAGGCCGTAGGCGATGATATGCTGCGGGATCCAACACTCCCACGCCGCGCGCAGCATCATCAGCACTGGGAGCAGCGTGGCCCTGATCATCGGGTCCAGCATGGGCGTCAGCATAAGCGTCAGCGTGCGCGAGCGACCGTCCACGCTGGGGGCCACTGCCTTGAAAGTCGCCGTGCGCAGCGTGTCCAGCTCCATGGTGGCGCAGCCCGTGACCGCGACGCCGTAGGTCACGCTGGGCTCGATCCCAGCACGGGCCACCTTGCGCACGGCCTTCTTGCGCCCAGCCCCAGTCTTCAGGATGGCCACGCGGCGCTGGCGTAGCCCTGCTTGAACCAGCTTCTCCTGCCGCACCTTGCGCACGATACGCCTGCCGCAGGCGAAGTCGATGCCCAGGTTGCGCTCGCCCTTGACGGAGAGCACGCCGAGGGGACGGCGTAGCCGAGCGGCCAGGGCGTGCCGGCCTGCTGGGAGGTTGGAGAGCGCCCTCGACTTCTTGACCGCCACGTTGAGGTCGACGTCCAGCAGCGGCATCTTGAGCTCGAACGCTGCTTCTGCCACCTCCTTAGTCACACGCATGAGCCCGCCAACTCGGTGCAGCATGAGGTCGTCCACGACGACGGCCAGAGAAACTGTCGGGTGCTGTATGACCAGGCGATCCAGCGGCCCGATCAGAATAAGCTTCAGCAGCGCCGTCGCGAAGCCATCGCCTGGGAGGATCGACTGCCTGGCCTCGATCACGCTCGAGGCCGCGCTGCCCATGCAGAGGACCCGAGGCGCGCAGTAGAGCTCCAGCGTCAGCTTGAGCTGCCAGAGGGGAAACCCCGTGGCGACGGCGGCGTCCAGCAGCCAGTGGTGGCGCACCTGCTCGAACGCCTTGAGCAGGTCGAGCAGCACCGCCACGGCCACCCACGACTCGGCGTCCCCGCAGTCGGCACCGCGCTGCGTGGCCCACTCGCCGATCGCGGCCTGGTGCCACACCGCACGCTCGCAGCTGCGGCCAGCAGCTGCCCACCAGTAGGGGCGGTCGTTGTCTTGCTCCCACTTGCGCGCGACGCCTCGGCGCAGCCGCGCCTGCACCCTCGCCAGCACCATGATGACGGCGATGGGCCTGACGCCGCCGAGCCGCTTCTGGATGAAGCCGATCTTGGTTGTCATGAGCGGCCAGGCTGCTTCGCGCTCGACGGCCACCAGGATGTCGATCAGCACCTCCAGCGCTTCGTCGCACAACTCGTCTAGCTGCC